CTGCTGACCTCTTTTCAATAGGGGCCAGATTAGCATGCAGCGATGCTGTGTGGCTCATCGCTGCAGTGGTGGAGCGCTTTTGTCCCCGGTGGTAATCCGCTCGCTCTAAATGCCCCAAACCCTGGTATACTGTTTCAAAATAAGGCTGGATTATCTCCACTTTTGAGAGTTCTGAGTACAGTCTTTTGTCACAAGGCCCTGTTCCCTTTGTCCAAGTTTGGAGACCCTGGTCATGCATATAAAGCATACGTGTCCGGATCCGGAATCCCCGGCAGGAAGTGGTGAATATCTCAAAAATACTGACAATACCGATGTCATGGTAAAATCAATTAGGTAATGGTGTCTTATTGTTAAAGAATAAAATCTGAACATTATGTCTTGATTTTATCTCTGACACTCAGATCAACCCGCGTCCTGCGTTGCCGCTTCTCGTATTAACATCCGAGGACCAAACGAGGAGCTCTTGTATAAGGATGCGGGGTCCCCGTGTGATGACTACATGGGCTACTGTGATTTCTTTGATTCCTGTCGTCTGGCCAACGAGGATGGGCCGTTAGCAGGCATCATCAGGAAAATCTTCTTCAGTGAGGAAGACCAGCTGACCGACGTCATATGGTCTTGGATCATGGTAAACCCAGCCTGCAACATTTTTATGAATAAGCAGATTTTTTGGGGGTTTGTTTTACTTCTCGTGTACGCCCTTACAAATGGAGAACACCGCACAAAGCCATAATCATTTGTGAATTTTCTTGTTTTCCTTATTCCCAGTTTATGCCTGTACACTGTGAATTTCTTTCCTATGGCACCCAAGGCATTACATATTTACCCCAGCTCTTAAGGCTTATGTCACAGTCCTTAGACTTTGAGCTTCCTGGAAAATAAGAAAGACAACAAATCAGGATGCATGGCACTTGAATTCAATTGGCGCTTTGTACCAGTACATTGTACCTATATCTAAGACACTGCAGATCATGGGAAATTTCTGCTTTGCGGTCTACACTCTTTGGGCTCACGCTCTTTCTGTTGCATTTTGGATTCACACAGGCCAACTGGTGGGTGATTCTAATCATTGTCGTCGTCTTGATCATCGTCATGATCCTTGTTGTCTTCGTCTGTGAACGGCTTATCCCCACCACCAACCCTTGGCATAAGGAGAAAGAACAACTGATGCGCCGTGCCAGTGCCAACGTTCAGCTCCAGAAGAAGCGTAACCGTGGCAGCCGATACTACGGTGATCCACCTCCACCAACCTCCTTTGACCAACATCCGGACAATGCTGAGAAGAGAGCCACCCGGTTTTAAATTGTGGGGTTTGGCCAGTTTTTAGCTAAATTAAACATACTGAGCTTCATATGCCAAAGGATTTTGTCTGCATGGCCTAGTATAAACACTTTCGTTGACATTCAAAGGTATTGTTCCAATCTTTCAAAAACCAGTGGGCTTTCAGACTTAAAAATCTTGTTACTGGTACGGTCCTTTGTGATCAATGATGTGATAATTCAAAGAATTCCAAGTTACAAGGAAGAAACATACTCTAGATGGTGTAACCTAGGTTAAGAAATTTTTACGGTAATGTTACACTGACTTTTGCAAGGCCAAAACAAGCCACTCTACTGACCAGATCACTTTCACAAATGTCCCGGAAAATGTTTGATTAAATATACTGAAGTCTCACTACAAAGAAGGTAAACTACTATTTTGCCATCAGTGGGTGTCACTATTTAAGGCTTAGGGCCTCTCTCTGTAGGGAACTTTAGACTTTGTATATACCGGCAATGTTTTAATGCCATGAGTTCTATTTCATCAGCACTCCAGTTCAGTGTACCTAGTTAGGGCAACACTTGGGGTGTGGCAGAGAGTTTATATGGTCGGTGGATGGGCTCGGTATTCATTAAGCCAGGTTTGGGCTCATGTTCATATGTGTATGCATGCATCAAAACTGAATCGTTACTTGGGGATAAATTCTTCGGATGGATCTTGTCAAGTCGCCAATGGCAAAGGCACACTAAGTCTGCTATCTGGAATTTATGTACAGTATGCATTCAAAAAAGGAGATCAAAATGAATGAAACCACCAATCCAGTAAGCCCAGCCTACTGTGCACGGTGGCCACGTGGGCACTGAAGACATGTTCCTCTTCAGTGCTACACTGCAGGTTCCAGCCGCATGCATCATATGTGTGTGCATGCATGATGGACTTGTGTGCGTACGCATGTGGGACATGTGGGGCTGTGATTGGTCAGAAAACAGTGGAGTGGGGCTAACTGGATTGGTCTGTGCTGTTGCCACCATCTGTGACTTGCATGAGCAAAGCTTGATTTATGCATACACAATGTGAGTATCAGACTGACCAATGCTGTGATATGTGTTTGATATTACCAACCGGTACCGGCTGTGTACTTTTGAATTTTTGGTCTTCAAATTTTTATATTGTTATCGTCAGAGAATCCTAATTCATACTTTTGTATTCTAGCTGCTTTGTACAGAGTGAAAGTAGTTGAACTGAAATGCCTTTAGAATGCATCCATTCACCCTTCTGTCTTTCAAGTAATTCAATGAGACCTTTTTATATTTTTCTCCTTTTCCAGCAGGTGTGTGAAAAGCAATGGATTGCTTTCATTAGAATTATAACAAATGCAATATGATATTGCTTCAGGGTTTGGGGATTTTAATTTTATTTTTAAACTTGTTGTTCACATAGTTTTTCTGTACTGTTGGTTATTATTTACTTTTGAAGAGTTCAGGGCTTAAGACTACAATCCAAGCATGTTATTAGAAGTTTCTTAATCTTTGAAGTTGTGCATGTTGGTTAGTATGACTTTACTTATACAATTTATGTTTTTTATTTGAAAGAAATCACATGTTATGATTTGTACATTTAAGGGTGATTGAATTATTGTCTATATAAAGTATGGCATGGACCGTGGCTGTCAACATGAAGTATGAACCATCAATATGTCACAAAAATTATAAGAAAAATCCTAAATCAAACATCAACGTGGAGAATTGATTAATTTAAAGTCTGAGTTATAAGGCATCCGTAAGTACCTCAGACAGTCTCCCCTATTGAACAACGTGCAACTTGACAGTGAATTAATATCTGATAATGCCCTCAGAGATGTGATAATGCCCAGTGCGTCAGTCATGCACTGACACCTGGATATGACACAGTTTAAAGTTTAATAGATTGTGATTGGTCAAGAGTCTGTGTGCATGCAGCTCACCTCGCAAGCCAAGTCCATATAAGAAGCTTCTTTTAGACAACTATAAAATAAAGTGGGTGGGGTTGTTTGGGAAAATGAAAGTAAAATTCCAGAACAAAATTGTTGGAAATCCGTCGTATACTGACTTCTTTTGCCTAACAAAGGTAGTTATGAATGGGAATAAATATGTACTTGGCCGGTCTTAAACTGACGTTTAATCATTAGATCAACTCGGGAGACTGAACGGTGGTAATGCCTTTGCGTGCGGCTTGGGCATTAGTCGCATCTATTCTACTCAGCTGGTCTTAAATGCAAATTAAAGATTGGCCAAGCACGTATTTATTTCTTAATACAACATAAAACAGGGTAGTGTTAATGTTGAAAAGTTGTAGAGGGCTGGTCTTGAAATGAAATGGCTGATGTAATAAATTCATAACCTTTCAGAAATTGATAAAAGCTGTCCAAGTGAAATACCATGAAGCCTTCTGCAGTATGATGTATTCAGGTGTTAGTGGTACTTGAATAATTTTTTCCAACTGACTCTGCTTGGGTGTATTTGATATGTACCAAGTTGGTCATGATTGCATTTATCACGAGCTTTCATGATAGTTGTATTAAACTATTCTGCCAGGATCTCAAAATCTTCTGCATGTGACTTGCCTAGTTAACCAGCGCAGTGGTTAGCTTGGTTATCAGCAGAATTGTAATATGCTCTTTGCGTAGTGCCAAACATTCCTGTGTAGCTAAACTTGTGAGCAATTGCAGACATCTATGCACCAGACTGGAGCCACAAAGTGAGGCTATGTTCCAAACAACCAGCTATGGCTGTGAGCAATGTAGGCATGTATGGGAAGTAGCTTCAGCCACTTGGTATTGGCTTCCTCAGCCAACAGGTACCATTCCTAGCTGCAGCTAAGTCTCTCCTGGTCAAGCTGGGCGTTGGTAGTCTGAACACGGTATCATGTCTTACTCGGGTCTGAGACCATCCAGTGTGTCTTTGTAACCATGAACTTTGGACAAAGGGGCAGCATTCTAACTGCTAATGTGTCATATTTCAGCTAAGCTCAACTAGCATGAGAACAGGTTTACAGTACTTTTGATTCTCATCACTTGTTGGATTTTTCACACCACGTTTGCTGTTGTACTTACTTTTTGTACTTTGCATTTATAATCATGACAAGGTGGTAAATGTATAAATTTGCTTTATGTAGTACTTTGATATTAAAAAAGGTTTTACTGCAACATGGTTGGAGACAAATGTTGACTACATCGCACAGATTTTGATTTTTGGATGTTTTTTTCTGAATAATATCCTCTAACCAATAGCATGAGCTTCATACATTGTTGAAAAGTGAAATGATCCAATTCTTTCAAATGTCATATTTACCTTGCATAGATTACAAAAAATGAGGACATTTTGGCTGACTTTTGGGGACCTGCAGGTGTCTGCTATGCAAAATATAAACAGGAATATGGTTTTCACTCCGCTTTTTTAAAATTCTGCTTTATTAAAAACCGTTCTTTAGTACATTGTGACAAGTGAAATATCAGTTGTAGATTTCAAGAAATCACAGCTTCATATTGTACTTCAGACTCTCGTCATTGATCATCCAAAAAAAAATAATTTCTTTTGTGGCAACAGCAATCAACTTTATTTCACAGTACATTTTTTTTTCATGCAACACTACATGCAGTTGGTTACTTTATGCCAAAATGTGTAAAATTAATTGTGGACAGCACACTTGCCTAAAATCAGCGACTGTCACATGCTTGGAGATCTGACCGAATCACTGATTTGAAGATTGAAATTCACCATCAGTTTAGAATCTTGACAGGAGACAGCCGCAAAAGCAATGTATCATTGACTACAAGCTGACATTTTTCCTTTGATTTATCAAAAATATAAAAAGGAAAGATGAAGCTCTCATAGGTGATCACAACCAACACTTTTTATAGAATTACTGGAAAAACGGTTACTCTGTGTAGACTTTTAAATATTTACATTATACCTTTTTTTTCTACAGATATATTGAATCTTCTTGCCACTGGGTAAAAAGCTAATCTCAAGTCTTTACAAATTCTCCTAAGTACACTGCGTATGAATATAAGCGTTAGAATTCTTTTTAAATATTCATTTCTAGCTTCACATCTAGCTATCCAAAACTGGAGATACAAAAAACACAAAGAACCCCCCTCCAAAAAAAATGCACCACAGAATTTCTGTTCTCATGAAGGGCCTGTTTGTTTATAAACATGAATCTGAATCTAGATCAGTGATCCAAAAGCTGGTCTGCGCTATCCATTAGACGGGGTCTTGATGTCGGTGAAACAACATCAGATCACTGATATCCATCCGGATCCACATAACAAACCGGCCTTAAATCTACTGGGCAACCTGGACACCGCTGGAATTCCGCATTCCAGACTGAAAGACAGGAAACAAAATGTAAGAGTAACAAATGCAATCGAATTCTTGTATGGTTAAACCATTCAAATCTGAAAAATTATATGTCAGTTGGATTAGGTGGAAAATGGTAATCATACAGTACACATGTATCTATGGTAAACGTCAAAACAACGAAATTCAACAAAGTTATACTAATTACTAAAAATCCAATTCATGCACACTTTTAAATAACTATGGCATGCATCATGCAATACAATGCAGCAGCCAATCAAAGTACACGTACAGGATTTATACCTTATACATATTCATCACCCAGCTTTGTAGCTTCATTAGGTTAGCTCCAATAATTATTACGTGTGGTTAAGCAACAAAATATTGCCACTAAAAATTTTTCACAAAGTGTTACAGCTGAGAACTGTTGGCATACTGAGGAAAAACTGCTCACCACTTTTTGAAAAGCAAGACTTCATTACTTTTGTCTCAAGTTTAGTAACTCAAGTACATGTAATACAGGTGTTTCACAATAGTGCGCCTCCAAGAGTTTGCAATGCGTCAGCCAATCACACGAAATGCACGAAATCTGTCGACCCAGTGTGCGTTCGGCAAGGGTTGACAGATTTCGCGCGTGGTGATTAGCCAGCACGTTGCAAACTCTGGGAGGCGCACTATTGTGAAACACCTGTATACAGTTAAGTAAATCACACCCAACTGACATCATGAAATGACATACTCCTCTGCAATGCATTGTGGGGGTGAGGCGTAAAAAAAAATAAAAAAATAGTGCATGTCACATCATAGTACCAACCATAGTACCGGGGCCAACACGCAAACATGAAGTTGCATATTTTAAACTTATTCACCAATCGGCCCTTTGAACATGGGTGCACCTTTAATGAACTATTCCCTGACACACATGTACTGGTTACATTGAATAAGGTGGCATCACCAAGTTTTGCGCACACTAGGAGAACTAAGCTTCTTTTGATGTAGGTTTTGTCATGAGTGATGGGATGGGTGGAGTGAAAGGTGAGACCGGGAGGGAGCTAATCCAAGAGAGGTATGTATGAGTAGATAGCATTAGGAAGTTTTCAAACTGTGCATTTAGTATCCGTGGGTAAATACAAACAAATCAAGTCGCGTAGAACAAAGAACAATAATCCAAATGGTAAATTCACAATTTTCAATACGAGCCACTGTAAATTGTAAAATAATGTGATGTCAGAATTTTGCTGTTTACTAAAAAACGTGCCATGCTTTAACATCATGTTCATATTACACAAGGCAAAACCCAAGTCAAACTACTTTTCACAGCAATGTAATTAAACCAATCAACAACACAATTTCACAGTGAAAAGAAATCTAATCTCTGAATCTTCAAGCATTGTATATGCCTTTCACATTTCAGCCATTGCTAAACGAGTTCCTACATGTACATGTCCCATATCCTTTGTAATTGTCATAAATGCAACATTACTATAAATGTGTAGTACGTGCATGTAAAATGTACTTGTGCAAAAATGTAGGTAAGAATTCTATAATGCTTTATATAAGTTGTAGGAATACAAAGTGAGGTAAACCTTGGAATTCTGCAGAGGAACTGAAAATAAAAAGAAAGGAAAAGACAAATCGTGGGACCGCGTGCAATAAAAAGAAAAAACCTTTTGGAGGAACCAATCCACTGCACTGTGGGAGGAAGTTGGTATCACATAACTCCGAAACACAGCAATCATGCATGGTTCAAAATCATCGTACCTTATCCACACTTTCCACAAACACAGCTTGAAACCCCCCTTTCTTGTCCCAAAATGGGATACCACAATCATCCATACATTTCTTCAGCCCAACTTTCATGGACCTCATTCACTGGATGTGTGAAATCTTCAATGTGAGCAGTAGATTGTACTGAAGTGTAATATCACTGTCAACCTACAAGCCCAAAATAGCTCTTTGGGGGGCGTTGGAAGGTGGGGGGAATACCCCACATAGCAAGTCACTTCAATGACATCACTCATATCTTTCCTCTTTGACTTTCCATGTCTGTGATGGTGGCGATATAAGAGTTACCATAAACAGTGTGTAGGCTTTGACGGCAGAAGGGCTGCACAAACTACCAACATGACCATGTTCCACTTGTTTCAATAGTATGAATAAACATCTTGAGCAGGTTGAGGAAATGTTAGCCAACTATTAACTACCAAAAGTAACTGTCTCAAAGCATAACGCACATGTGTAATTTAGAATAAGTATCATTGTAAAACTGTATTGATATTTTCATTATGCCATTTTGGAATATTAAGGAGAACACTATATCAACTTTGTGTATTATTTACATACTTAATATAGTGGGCCGGCCCCCGGCCACTCACTTGGGGGCTGGACCGCTACATAAAGTATGATTTATCAAAAGTAGAAGAAAATATATATATTGAAAAAGAGTCACTTCAACAGCCCAGCAACATACAACTTCGTTTCTAAAAATTATGAGAAATACTCAAAGAACTATGATAAACTATTTGTGGATAAATTTACAATGTGGGTTTCCATTTCAGACAAAAAATTACTCAAACAGATTTACATGAGTAACAATCTCAAAGTTACGTGTAAATGGCAAACGCTGATTATTTTTTAAACTTCAATGCTTAAAATACGCATTATATATCAAACATGTAGCTATCTGAATGAGATCTCCATTAACCCTAACAGTCCTCAATCTGTCACCTGTTGGAGGACTGAGGACTGTTAGGGTTAATATGCCAAAATGACTTTACACTGACTCATTCACTCAGATAAACGAATAATTTAAACATTTCTTCCCTGCCTTATACATTTTTCTTGCCCAGTTTGAGAATTCAGTAAAACTCACTACAATACACTGTACTCAGAATTTGAAAAGATGTTATCATATTTGTCTAACAGTGCCTGTAATAAGTTCCCTAAAGCTTGGTAATACCACATAGGTTTGTGACCACTCATTAGACAAGAAAAATATACAAGAGCCTTGCTTGAATAGATAGTGAGAAATTTCGAGAAAAAATACTCTGAGTATTACAACCTTTTTAAAAATCAAAATCTCTAGATGAACCCAAACTTTGGCTTACAAGTACACTCATTCACCGCTGACAGAAAGCATTTATGTTTATTTTGACAATTGTTTCAAACAAAAAGTAACAAACAATTCCATCCCAAAACAAACTTAAACAAAAAAGAGTCCTCAGGTCGCAATATATGATTTCATTTTTCAAAGTAATGTGTTTACATTTGTCAGACACGCCAACATTAAAATTGTTTGAACTTTTTACTCGTAGACAATGATGTGTTTCAATTCGTACTGTTTGTACAATTTTGCAAAATATACATTACACCATTTTAAAAAAGTTTATCAAAATTCTCTGTTCAGAAGTCATCAAGTAACCATCAAAATGATCTTTAATGTGATTACAAAAATCCCAGCGATCTGACGACCAATGCAGAGAGTAATTAAAATGTATCATTTTGAAACTTCCATTTCAAGTTGTTCTCCAAAACCATTTCGTGATGACAATGAAACGTAAGCTCAGTGTTAAAAACCAACATCTCTCTTTAAAAACAAAACCCACTGTTCATTGAAAAGCATGAGTAACTGTCCAATGTGCAGTACCCAGCCTGACTTTTTCCCAAAAGTTTTTAATTCAAAAGCCTCCTTTTTTTCCTTTTCCTGAAAAATATCTACCAGCATGAAATGACAACTTTAGCAAATGAGAAAGGAGTAGAGAAAACTATACAAGCTTACTGTTGCAGAGCTTGATGTGACTGGGAATCATGGCCACACTAGGCCATCTCGATAGGCCGACCTCCACCGCGCTGACGAGAGCTTGGCCGCCTGGGTAGGGTCAGCTGACGATGCTTGGGAAGCTTAGGGTTACTACTCGGAGTGTGGACACTGCACACCTTGATGAATAACGCCATGAAGAGGATGACAGCTAAGCCAATCAGAACAGCCGCCCACCAGTTAGTCTGAGGAAGAACCAATCCAAAACAACCTTTACAGTTTATCAATCGTTTCTAGTTCCAAACAGCTTTTGATTTTCTCATGTTTAATTTTTGATAAATACATTGATTTTCCAATGTGCACTTTTCTAATGTATCAAATATAAGTCACAAAAACAAAAAGTCTTTCTTTGAACAGTTAGTTCAACTAATGAATATGTGAAGATTAAAGAAATCCAGAAGCTATATTTGTGCATATGAATGGAAGTGACATGGCCATCTTGTTGCTGACCAATCATTACCAAGGATTTATGAGCATTATTGCCACCGAAACAAAAAATTCACTGCTATGTAATATTTTTGGAGACACTGCCTGTGATTGTTTAAATCCCAGGAGTGTCAGTGCGACCGTTCAGCAGGGATGTCAGCAGTCTGTAGACAGCACACATCAATTTTTCCTCCACACAACAGCCATTCTCACCAGGATGACACACAATGTTGCATCAAACCAAAAAATTCAGTTAGCTGTTTCTAAAGCAATTGCAATCTACAACAGAATTACCAAAAAGTCTCAAGACTCATTTTGCACAATCCAGACCCTTTTTTGCCAAACAGTAAACCTTTACAAGAACCCAACGGCACATTTCTCTTGTGCATTTCACTGGGCAGTGAGTTCTCAGTATACCATGAGTGGCTTAACTAGAACTCCCTCAATTGTGTAATAATTTCCACAACATTCAGGCAAATTTGGATTCCCCTCAGTAGGTTGGGCTACGTTCTCCGGCTTCCACATGATCATCCCTCCTGTACCACTCTGACGATTGATTCTTATCAGGCTTTAAAATGGCAGCAACCACACGGTGCCCCCAGAGAGAACCTGATGACTGGATACTGTTCTTAGCAACCTACAAGCCTCGGGGGTTGTACTGAGCCAGGTCCAGGGACAGGCCCGACAACACACTTTGCTGGAGGGCCCTGGTTATAACTGATTGGCTCCATGCCTCGGCAGGAGACTAACTACAACTAGGTTGGGGAGGGGAGGAGGACATATCTGCTCACCTTAAGCCACTCAGCGATATCCTTGTAGAGCTGAGGGTTCAGGATTGCATCTCTGAGCCTGGACAGAGGTCCATTGGAGTCCACATTGCGACACTTGTAGAAGACGTCACAATAACCCTTCAGCTCGTTACAAGGTGCACCTGGCACTTGATATAAGATCTTCTCTGTGGAGTCACTCCCTGGTATAACCTCTCCATGCATGGCTGTAAAATTAGCCATGGCTGGGATTTTCGTACTACTCATGCACGTATTGACATCATCTACAAACCAAAAACAACATGAATAATTCTCTTGATAATTTTGCCAAATAAACATCACTGAATATTTGAAGCTAACGATAGTTTTATTTTTTGTTTTTATGCTAAGTATCAACATAAGTCAACAGAGAAGTTCACAAATGTCTAGTGTGGAAGCAATGGAAATTCCATTGATTAGTGGAATACAACTTCTGTGTTTGCAAGCATGATTGCATCATGTATTGGGAAATAATTCAATGACATGTGACCAAATCAACCAATTAGATGGCTGGATTTATTCAGGTGCCATACAACACATGATATGGGATATTTTCCAAGTTTATAGCCAAACAAAAATTTGTCTAAGGAAATGCATGGAGTTTTTCGAGATTTGTAGTGAGGAAGCAGGGTTCAGCTGCCGTTCAAAAACACATTATCTTAATCAATACTCGAATCACACTTACAATGTTCTTCCCTGCAAACAAACACGGAGATAAATTCAATTTGCTGATTGTTTCCCACAGTGCACTGAAATTATGGCCTTTCCATGCTGACCTCTTGGTGGTGCACTGTATTGTAAATTGCCTTGCCTTTATTTGCCAATTTATTTGCAAGCCTCTTCAACTTTAACTCCAGCAGGTGAATTTAAGAGGAAAGTTTTTCCATGATGCATTTTGAAATAATGATCTTCATAGTGGCAGGCTTTAGTGTTCACCATCTGAATATTCCCGCACTCTGGATGGACCATACAGGCATTGCACTTTCAAATTTCAACTTTGCCAGATTTGCTCTAGAGCTGGAAGTGTATTTAAGCTGACCTCCATTCTGACAGCACAAATGACAGCCCTCGTCTGTCTCTCCTTCCGCAGGTGGAGGGCAGTAACACTCGGTCAGGCCAAACACCTCACAGACGGAGCCACTGCATTCCTTTGGAATTCAAATATGTAATTAAGCAACACATCAGGCCAAAAATGATCATATAACAAAAAAACTGACTGAATAAAGCACAATTTAAGACACCTGACATGTTCACTAACCAATTTTTTGGTGTTCAGAGCACGTAAGGACAAATGAAATTTCTATCTGACAAGGAGAGTTCTACATACACGTCAGGTTTAGTTCCTAGTGATGTTATTCCATGCTCAACGTTGCTTGCCAGCAGTAAGAGGACAGTACTTGTACAGGTGGGATTCAACCCCATCACCTCCTGCTTTGTATTGTAAAACAGACGTTACTCTCAGTTCGCAATCAATTTATGGCTACCACACCGATGCCCACGAAGAACAGGCCGTGGAGTACTTAAGACATGGCAAAAATAGTCAAGTATTAGGACAACACTGCTGAAGTGGCGGCATTACTTACTGGCTCCCTTTAGCAAGAAGGAATGGTTGGCCGATAGCTACAAGTCAATGATCTTTTTCCCCTTCAAAACTTACCCCGCTTTTACAGACTTGTTTGAAGTTGTTGCAGGAAGACAGGTCAACTTTGTGACTAGGTTCCGGACAGGAAGCACTCATCCCAGTAAAATTACAGTTAAAGAACTCATCCAAATAAAATGGTTATCTATTGAATGGATTTATGGACATTTAATATTCGGTGCGGTGGTTGTACAATGACACATCTTCAATAAAGAGCCTGCTCTGGGCACATGTGGCATCTGTGGTTAGACGGAATTTATCAAGATTGAATGATAATGGGATCACTGAATGCATGCGTATGACACATGGGCAAGTACCCATCCCAGAGATGCTTCTCACAATGGTCACTACATCACTTCATAAAAAGAGGAAAATTGTTTACTGGGCAATCACATCCTCAGGGCGACACAAGCATGCTCTCCCTCATCTAGTCTACGGCCTGGAATTTTGGCATGCAATGGTACTCTATATGTAGTGTGCACAGGGAGCCAACAAAAGAGGGTGCTCACACACCCCCTCCCAGCTTCCTGCCTCAACTTCCTAGAGAAATCTTGAGGAAATGTTCTTCTGCCCACATGCTGCTTGATCTGTGCTGATTGGCTCACACACACACACAGCACTCTGTGCATATTGTGCACGTGCACAAGAGAAATCCCCAACATTGTTCCATGTACATGTAAGTAAGTACATGTAAGTAAGCACGTGGAAAGGATATTCATGACTAACTCATTATAAACCCTTGATCTTCAGATGAATTGGGCTACACGCGTTACAGGTGGGCGAAGAGAAATGAAAAAATGACAGCTAGAATCTGGACTTGCAACCCTTGTGGCACCCAGCACGTATCAATAATTAACAGACAGTACCAGAAACCAGAAATCTGAAAGTATCAAAATCTGCATGCTTTTGACATAGAGACCGTTTGCACCAACATACCACAAATGCCAATCTAACCTCCTTTTAGGATCTCGCAAGGGGTGCATGTGGCCAACCAGCCCACTGGCTCCAACTTCAAAAGGATATTCACACTCGGATTCCTCACTACAATCCGTTTCTGGTTTACATGTCTTGCTGTTAGCTGCATGGTAGTTACAGGTGGCTTCATTGCAACATGGTCCTTGGGATTTGCTAGAAAGCAAAAGCAGAAGAAAATGGTCAAATCAAAGAAACAAAACGACGGATGTTGTGCTGGGACCTGAAGAGGGTGTGGTGAAAAGATTTCACTGGTTCCAGTTTGTTGTCCATTCAATTGCATTTGAGATTGTGTACCAGGGAGGGTGGATTTTGCCTGCGCAAGCCAACATAAGGCAGAATGCTTTCTCTCCAGTAACATTTGAGACCCCTATCATGTACAGTTCAGCCTCGTTAATTAGAGCAATGTTAACCCCTTCGTGCTGGAAGATGGCAAACGTTGCGGCTCAGCGGGAGGATTAGTGCATACCGCACATACATTCTATTCATGATGCACCTGCAGTTTCAATGTCGGCCTGCTGGTGGATAGGGCTTTGCATACAGGGCATACCGCAGTCTAGTAGGCAAGGTCAAAAAAATCCCACCATAAAGGGGTTAATACAAGATCCTGCTTATAAGAAGGAAATGTTTAGGTCCCAATCTTTTCTTTTTCACTGTTTTCATTCCTGATGATACAACGTTTCTGTTACAACAGGGTAATTTGCCAAGTCCGAAGGACCTCTTATTAATGAGATTCGCCTATACTAACGTTGAACTATTCTCACAAGACTTGTTGTTGTTGTGGGTCACTCACAATACCCTGTAGGAATAACAGTTGACATTACCTGCATACGGCTTTGACACCACCGTTAGTAGCCAACTTGCAGGCATTAACGTCCTCGCTTGCTGACTTGGCTGACTGTCTTGCATTGCAGCACCGATCGGTGCACTGGTCGTCGTAACCGCAATCGCATTCTTCGTTCTCGTTCAAGATGTGGTTACCGCAGACAGGTCGGTCAGAGGCTGCAATCAGGCAACATGTAAATCACAGGTTAGGACAAAGACATGCTTCTTGTGACACTTCAAGATGACCGAGATCATCCAAAGCTTCTTGACCTCTCTGCTGGTCATCCATCATACTCAAATCTTGACAGGCTCTCTGGCCATAGACAAACCCAGTGATGTTTCAATGCACATTCCTCCTTTGACAACAGAAAGCACTGTGCTGGGTTTTGCCCTGGGCAAGGTCACAGAATGACTTCCAGTAATAGTCATTACAATGCTCGCCACCACTGGCAGGGGTCACTACAAATGACCAGCGATAGCATTACCATAGTCACTAGATTCATCTGTAAGGAAAAGCAAACTGTTATTCTACTCCCCACAACCTCTGTGGTCTCGGTTGGAATCCTCAAAAGTGGATTTTTTCTCGTTATACGCCCCATCTGACTGCACGACGTGTTCAGAGAATTTTCCTCTGAACTAAATTGATCACTTCTGCACCATTGTCTCTCTGCATGCTTTTTTTTAAAGAGCCGTAGGTGTTACAGCAATTAGTCCTCAGCATAGTGTTGAAAGTACCACTCTCAACTCAGACATGATATGGACTGGTTTAGTTTTTGCTCTCACATTTGACTTTTAGCAGGGCACTCAGATTCACTGATTCCTAGATAGCTTACGATATTCTGTAGGTTGGTTAAATGATTAGCCAATGCTTCACAATGACAAGAGACACTATCATGAGATGATCATTATTATTCGTTATCGTTATCACGATCGGTCTCTCACTTACAGACAAAGCATCTGCTGGCTTTGGCGTTGACGACGTTTGACATGTTGGCAATACTACAATCGGAGAACTTCTTATTGTTGGGTTTGTCACCGGACGTGGCACTGGCGTACATGATGTAGTTGCCTTGACTACGTGTATTTGAGAAGTCACCTGGCCGACAGGCATCTGGGTAGTCATGCTGTACAAAAGATAAAAATGTACCAGAACAAAAGTTGCTGAAGATATTGAAATGGGGTTTGAGTGGGCCTTGGCTCCAGGGTTGAGAAACTGGCAACAAATTGCAGCAGACCACACAAGCTCAACTCACAATATTATGCAATACCGTGTGTGTTATTTGGTCTTGCTGTATTTCATTTCCCTTTGTTTTTTCTTTGATTTTTCCTCAGGTATGTCAGGCCTGCAAAACAAGGATTTCCCTTCCAGCATGCAAAGGGATGAAATGCCTTAATGTTTCTCCCAAAATATGAAAAAAGCCAAAAATCTGGCATCTCTGGTTTAAATTGGCCCCTCATAAGAAAGTAGATTGCAAGCATAGATGAGTTAACAGCCCACAGTATGTTAGCTTGAAATTCTCTCTCTCTCAATCTAAGCGTATTTCCTTGGAGATGTTTTTTTTACCTAGGACTTTTCCTACATAAAGAGCAGAGGATCTAAATTTTCCATCAACATGTATAGCCGTAACCAGATTATGCTGAAGCCAGCATCAGTCCCTATGTACCGGTATTGAACCCAAGCTGAAAGTACATGTAAGTCAGAATCTCACAGGTGATCCAAAGTTGTGGCCAATCTCGTGGGCAAAAGTGATTTCTGTGACCTTCGTCGGGACCTGGGAGCCATAGTTCTTGATGGTGACGATTCCGGTGTTGAGGCTCTGATACCCACTGCTAAACTGCTTGTAACGTTCACAGATTCCACCAGAGGTACCTGTCAAATAAAACAATGAATAAATGAAAAATGGGTCTGATTAGTGAGGGTAGTAAGAGTGAAGTTTGCCACAGAGGTATCTGCGTGCCTTTCTGTTGACCTGTTCGCAAGATTAGCTTCTATGAGTTAACCTCATCCCCACTGTCTCATTTGTTTAACACAGTGCACATGACTATCCCTAGGGTCAGGGCTGCCTGGTGTATTCTCCAAGGCACCCCCTGTACACGTATCTGTTATACTGAAAAACAGTAGCAATATCCGATTCGTTAGTGACTTTGTCATACATGTACAAGTGGACGTGCCAGGATTTGCAGACTCCAATTGAACGGTCGCTGAGGTTGCGTGTCAACTTCTGGTTCCATGGTTCCATGTAAACAGCGAGCAATGCGTGTAACTCTATGTGCACTGGGCATGGTTTGAACTGAAGTAACGTCACACTTATAAACCGGATACATGTACATGTAACTTAACAACTTTATCAACTTACCAGTGTTCCGCACCCTGTCAATAAGCACAATTAATGCACTGATAGCAGGTTCAGGAATTAGTCATAAATTAATTTTCACCTGAAAATGCCATCCCTGGATCTTTCTAAATAAACAGCTTGTGGATAGATTCGTAACTGTTAAGTCCATGCGGAGTAACAGTGACAGAGTTCTAATTTCCCCAAAACCTTCAAAATTCTACAAAATCTATATTTTCATACGAAACAATGAACTTGTTGCCCAGGAAATACTCAAACAGAGGTCAGCTCGTAAGTCCGACGCCTCATAATTCTGACGCCTCATAGGTCCAACGCCTCATACCGGTAAGTCTGACAAATGCGTTTTTAATGGTCCAACAGTTTTTTCGGCCCATGGCATAGATCCAATGTCTCAAAAAATCTGACGCCTCGAAAGTCCAACGTTTGATTTGACGATTGTTAAGAGTGTATGAAGACGGGGCTAGGAACAAGACCGGTTCCCGGTGTCAAGTATGGTGTACTAAATGTATTTATGACACATACAAACATTTTAAATTTCAAAAGTATTAGTCGAAAAAATGCTTTTTATCTTGAGCAAAGTATCCCACATGTACATCATTCTTACACGTAGTGGTGTTTTGGATTAAAAAAATACTGGACCAGTGTACAAACTGTGCAGGTAGTCTGCTTGATTCAGTTTCCCTAACAGGGTCAGTACTGAGGGCACGAGTTGGGAACAAAGTTGAATCTCGCTCACGGGCAACTCATTGCGTGGGCCCGCACTCCTCTGTGTTTCACATTCAATCACACTGACATCTCATATTAAGTCTGACACCTCGTTGGTCTGACGTCGGATTTATGAGGCGTCGGACCTATGAGCGCTGAATAAAAATTGCCCATAGATCCGACACCTCATTATTCCAAAAATTCAGACTTTTGAGGCGTCAGACTTATGATAGGCACCCCTAAATACTAGTAATCTCAATTCTGGCTGTCATAAATAACCCTTTCTGTTCACCACACAACAGATGCATAATAAACATCTGATAAAAGAATAGATATAATTTTAAAACCTTCTGACTGAATACATTTCCTTCAAAATTACCCTGATATACATGTACCATACATACATGTACATGTAAGAGGTAAAAACACAGCAATTAGACAGAAAAGAGTGCTTCAAACATTACAGCAATCTGACAAGCAATGACTTAGACACACTACCTTCATGTACTGTACATGTACGTTTTATACATGTACCGGTATGTGGACATTTACATGTGTGTTGAATGACCCACAGTACAGTTTCTCGATACCTGCAATTACAGTAGAATAGATTAAGTCATTAAGTGAACACACACAAAGAATGAACCATCTCCATCTTTTCCAGTATTTCTATGAACAGGTTTATGTACAAGTACATGTACATGTAGGTACATACATGTACATGCACATGCTACCGACACACAGCCTCTGTACAAACATGCTAATGGCATTTTCCAAAGGCAGTCGTTACAGATGTAATTGGCCTCAATCAGACAGCCAGATTGTGCCTGACTAGACAGCCTGGTGAGACCAGCTAACACACTGTCTGCAGTCTTCACAATGGCAGGGTTGAAGGTTCACGGCCAGTAATCAATAAGCATTACCCATGCTCCGAACAACATGTAGATAAAGGTTTATGATGAATCCTAATTGTATGAACTGTCCTTGAAAGAATTTGTCTCCAATGGAATAACCTGTGAATGCACATGGACTGATATTCAGAGATAATAAGTATGCAGATGTATTATCAAGATGTATTTTTCCGTTGGGGAGATGTTAATTTATACAGCGGGTTTTGCCCTTACCCAACGTATATATCAATAAACACTGTATGCTCAGTGCTTGTCCGAGAGCTTGCGAAAAAAGTCACAAGCTTACTCGCGTGGGACTCGAACCCACGACTTCCTGCTTACTGGTGCAGACGTCTTAACCACTCGACCACCGAGCTTGCCGGGGTCGGCTGGCTGGTGTACATGTAGAACACAAAAATACAAACTATGACAAAATATAAACATTCAGCTGTTTTTAATAAAAAGACACTAATTTCTGAGTCCTTAAAAGGAAAGCCTTGATACATGTACGTGTAAGCCTGATGTTGTTTAAAAACTGAAAAATGATATGAAGATCAACCATAAAACAGCCAATCTAAAATCAAATTGCACTTCAGTTGGAAATGACAAGAATTCTACTAATGTAAAACAAGTTGTGGAACTTTGTATGTGTTATATGTACATGTACGTGGGGCATGTAACTACATGAACACATGTAACCTTTAACCCTAACCTTCCCCAACCACACAGAATTACACAGTAGTAAAGTGTTTAATTTTGTGGGGATAGNACAAAGTCCCATATGGGTGTTTAACTTTGTGTGAATGGGGAACATTAGGGCCAGCAACCCTGGAGGGGGGTTAGAGCCAGCAACCCTTGGGGGTTAGGGTTAAAAAAAGGAAAAACACTAATCAGCAAATTAACAAAAAACTAAAACATTCACAAATACTTCATGAACAATGAAAACCAGTCACGGATATCAAAAATCAGGGACATTTAAGCAGGTAACCAGTTGTTGGTAAGCACAATGCATCTGTGCTAAGCACAGATTGGTTTGAGCAAATATCACAGTAAATGCAACAGATTGGCTAAAAGTCCTGATTTACTTTTAACCACTTTACACCTCGTGAGGCGTAAACATGATCTTGCTACATGTACATGTATCTGTACATACATGTACAGGAATGGCTGATGGGTTCAAACATCAGGTGTGCCTTGAGTCACCTCCGGCTGACATTTAAACTTGTTAAACTCCATTTGTTTTTGTACACACATGCACAAAGTATGATAAGTCTGTAGAGAGGGATTGAGTGTTGAACTTGAGCCTGGCCGCTCTCCATAGCCAGTTGTGGTCGCAACTACTGCTCTTGGGTAAACATCTGAGGCTTGACAAATATAATGTTGTCGTAATTACTGTTCCAAATAACGCTCTGCAATCAGTGTGTAATGTTTGGCTGTATATAAAAAGTTCACTGCTATATCAGGGTTCCCACACAAATCTGAAAACCAAATACCACAACTTTCCCATAATCTTGATTTCCATGAATTTTCCATGAATTTTCCATGCCTTTCCATCCTCTGACAACAGGATTTAAGGACATCCTTTTTCCAACTTTTTCACAGCTTTTCCGTAACTTTCCAGGACCTTTTGTTCCCCCTGGATTTTTAAAGGATTTTCCAAGACTGTAAGTTAATTCCTTTTTGAGAAAGTTGAAGTTTTTGACCCAAAAGAATCCTATCTCTGAGACGTTTAGAGAAACTGACACATTATTAGACTTACTTCCTGAGGATCCCACCCAGGCAAGTCCGAGGACTCCGTCATTGAAGTCACGGTTGGCAAACACATAGGCCAGGCAATATTCATCATGGTTCTGCAGAGAGTTCAGGTCTAGAAACTTCTCCACACCAATGTTTTCAAATCGGAAAGGATTTGTAGGGTCAGCTTTCTCACTGGTGCCATTGATCTGAAAATAAAGAGTCAGTAATATCATCAGTATGAATAAAAACTGTCATAACAGTTCCAGACTCTGAAACAATGAAACATTCATCTTTATCATCATCAAACAGATGTACTTCACTTTGCACTGAATACGTGGAAGTGGGTCAGGCATCCTATGACAAACTTTGGTCTAAAATTGTAAGTGTTCTTAAATTTCATTTGTACTCTAGGTTCAACAATGCTCTGCTAACATCCCTCCCTTTTAAATTTTCTGAGCCAGGGTAGGTCGAGCAGTCCTGGAAATCCTAGACGAAGCATTAAAGGCAAACTGTCAACATCTACAGCAGTGCTTAGGCTGGGCTGATAGAGCATGATTTGTAGGGTGTCAGTCCCACTTTTATTCAGTCATTTGGGTTTTTACCACAAGTCATTCATTCCAAAATTGTAAGATGATCAAGTGTATCAAAAAGGCTTTCAGCTTCATAATTGAACAGTATTCCACTATGCATGTGCAACAGTACGCAAATAAAAATAGATCTAAGAAACCGAATGTGGACAAATTCCAGTAAACCAAAATTTGAATCAACTACATCCACTGAGGGAAAAAAAAGGGGCCAAGTCCTTGTCTCAATGAATACCATTAGGTGGACAGGTGTTGATTTTTTTCTGCAATGGCCAACCAAAATCTGGCCCCTCTGTGGTCACCTCTTTACAACATACTACTGTAAGGTCCACTGTTTTCCTTACCCTAATCCTGTCCACCAAGAACCCAACGTCATTGTAGGTGCCAAGCTTGTAGGCGCCGTAAATAGCATTGACGGCAGCCACAAAGTTATTGAACTGAGCGATGACCTCCGAGTCTTCGTGATTGAAGAATGCAGAATACGTGTGGTCAGCCTGGAGATACAGATTACAGGTGTTCTTGAGTGGCGTCTGGCGTCGGGTTCGGCGATGTTTGGGGTCAGCGTATATATTTTCCCTGGGACTATAATCATGAGCAGTCTGGCCACTTTGCCTAGTAGAACCCTGTGACAAAATGAAATTTCAAGCAGTAAAAAACAAGAAGTCGGGTTTCTATTAGCTTAAACAAACATAATAAAATACATATGTGCATGTATGTGATAAAATAGGGTTTTGTATTTTTTTTCAAATGTCCTCACTTGGCAAGTTGAGTTCAGTTTTTGGACAAAAAAAAAGAATTTGGCATCCTCTACAATTCTCTGTCTTTCCAAACATGATCTCAAGCACCTTTGACAAGCTTCTGCAGTGGCCTTGATTGAACCATAGGAACAAGTTTCCAAAATGTTACCACATGAATTTATGTGCTCAGTTAAAATCTGCCAGTAAGGACCATCGATAAATATATAGCATACATAGCATACAGCCAAGCATTTGGAATGCCTGAATGTTTTGCTCCTTAGAAATGTTGTGCAGTTCAGAACACCAATACAACTGGCTCAGGAGGACTGGAGCTGTCTGGATGGATCAAATATGCCATCAAGAAAAGTATGTACTCAGTCTAAAATAACTCACATTGAATGTCCTTTTATCTGGTAAGTACTTTACATACTTGTATCTGTATGAAATAAAATTGGATGGTTATAATGAATTGGCCTTACAAGTACAGGTGCAACTTCAACAGGTGGAACAGACTCTGCAATTTCATCAACTACCTTCTTCACGTATTCACGGCTGTCCTCCTCAACGGCTGATTCTTGGACCTTCTTCATCCATTTCATGGTCTTGCTGGTTAAGCCACAGCCTCCATCGGGTGGATGCTCCACATCCGAACCCTTGTAGATGACGGAGTGGAACTCTGTGGGCTTGTCAAAGTGTCTGTGGGCTGGCTCCACATGGTAGGTGTCGCCGTCTGCATAGATGGTTCCTGAGAAGAGACCCTTGAGGATGGATCCATGGCACTTGGTGTTAGGCTCACCTACAGGGGACGTAGACGAAGGAAGGAGAGGTTTCATCTGCATGAACAATATACCTCTGGCATACAACGTCTAAATGTGGCTGACTGAAGTTTGACTTGAAGTAGAATGACTCTCCCTCTTTAAAGGATTCTACATGAATAGCTAGGTATTGGTCCACATATTTTGAATCCAGCAAAATTTAAAACCAAGAATCAAATCATCAGAACAACATGTACTTAAAACCAAGAACCATGCACAGTCACGTAAACTGAATTTGGGCAGTGAGAGTTAATGGTTTAAAAACATTTCTAAACATCAGAATCGACCATGATTTATTGTCACGATTATGGCAGGTTATGGCAGGGCAAACCCGTTATATATAATTATGGCAGGTTACGTGTATGCGAGTGTCTTCAACTAAATCATCACTTACATGTACTTGTACATGTACAGGGTGTGTACATTAAACTAAATTCACTGTGAAAAAAGGGGAAAATGTCATTTAAAGTCTTGGCAAAACTACATCTGTGCACTGCAACCTTTTCAGGTTTGAACAGCACCGTTGTGCAACTCTATACCGACGTACCTTCTAGTTGGCCTACATACAGGTAGTCTGGTTCATGGAATCTCGCACCGTCTGTTGTCTCTACAATCAGATTGGGGGACAGGTGGGGTGCTCCACGGATAAGCCGAAGTTTAAAATCCCTGAAAAGATGTGATAGTTCAATAAATGGTGCTGCTTTTTTGACCATAGATACATGTTACATTGGTGACAAGTTAGAAAATTTGAACTAGTAATTTATCACATTGCTTTTGATTTTAAGAAGCAAATTATACAACTTTTTAAAATGCTAAAACTAACAAAGCTAGAGCTTAATAAATTGACTTTGCGTAAAACGCAGAGCGGATTATCAACTCTGTACCATGCTGAGTTGTTTCAAGTAACAAATTAAACTTGTGGTACTAACTGACAACATAAAATTAATCATTTATAAAAAGCAATTCAAATGAAGCTTTTTCAAGTTCATTTCTGCCACTCGGCAAAACCAGATCCATCAGATACTAAACGTTGGTTTTGGAATTGCCAAGATACTTTTTTCTTTTTCACAAACCCAAAATCAAAGGAAAATGAAATTGGACACTGCTGTGCATGTCTGACAAGGATAAGATCAAGTTACTACGTGTTATTTCCTAACAAAGGGCATAAGAAGCATGGATGCAAGTACGCTCATGTTGTATAATGTACATACACCGGTACATGATGCAGAAGGATACAGTATGCAATCATTTTACTGGTAAACTACACTCCCGTATTCAATCCTTCTTTATGCAATACAAGGACTGGGTAGGGTACTCTTTGCCTGTTTACATGTATCATGCCCATCAAGTGAACAAAGACTTGGACCTGGAATCTATAAATTGACGTACATACATGTACATTGTACATGCACGCATACAATAATATACAGTACCTGTATGTTTTACACATGAACATGAGTCTAGTGCAATGTATATCAAGTGTCTGCATAGATGTACATACACTGTACATGTAGCTGACCTTTTATGGTTGAATGAGCACCAGTGTCAAAGCATACCTGTACATGTATGTACGCGCTGTAGAAAAGACATGTACAGGTGCATGAATGGTAGTGCAGGCTTACCAATGCAATGTACTGTTTGTACATACGGTATATATTCCCAGTACTGGTACATGTACATGTATGTGCATACAGGCACAGGGTAAAGGGTATGGCACAGTAACACTAGCAACATGATAAAGCTACACATAGGCTTTGGGGTTACAACAATGCCTTCAGACTGCAGTGCTTGGGTCAATGAACAAGGACACCCAGTGCAGTAGATTTCAATGATCTATTACAAGAGAACAAGGAAATCATATTTTATTCAGAGGTCTCGTCCGTAAACCATTTCACACATTTGGCAAGAAAAATGTCTACATACATGTAAATGTTCATGGATAATTCATTTTTTAAAAAGTTCTTTCTTCCGAGCACCAACCAACATTCATCCAGATCTACATCTACATTTTTGATGAATTTAGGAATGCAAAGTCAAGTCACTAGCACCATAGTAATACATATGTATTAAGGAAGTTATCTTACATGTTTTTTGTGAAAGTCAAAAAGAAAAAGGACAGTGTTAGTTAAATGCGTGATAGGCCATAAGTATCATATGCAGTATCAATTGTTAATTGATTATTGATGTTCAATACAGTGATTTTTCTGATAAATTTCCTATTTGATTTATTGAAAACCATTTTGTGAAAAAAGGTTTTGTTTCAGAAGGCACAGCAGAATGGCCAAAAATTACTTACGAAGTACATGGAAACCAAAAATTTCAAATGTTCTAAAAAAAAGAAAGAAAGAAAAAAAAGTGAGATGATTTATAAAGTGGGAAGAACACAAAGACCGGTTGTTTCAAGCTGTGGGGGCATTACTTAAACAAGTGCTAAGGCCTTTATGTGAAAAAATCCCCAAGGCAGACTACTGCTAATATTGTGAACTGGACTTGTGTGAAATTACCAGTTATAGGGGAAAACTATTGATCAATTAACCAAATATGAAATTGAAAAGGAAACAATGAACTTACACATGTATTGACAAAATCAGTGAAATCTTTCCGGTCAACTAAAATGAAATTGGAGACAGATTCTTCCTGTACATACCTGGTACATGTGCACGTTCATACATGTACATACTAGTTTGTACACAGTTAAATATATATGTAGTTAGAAGTGTTGTTGTATGCAATGTGCAGTTGATAGGTGGGAACTCAGTTTAAATGAATGCTAATACAATAGCAAAAATCCCATCATTTACATGTGCGGGTAATAATTTGTACATGCAGCTATGTACGAGTACATGCAAAATGCAAAAGAATGGCATAGCACGTACGTCTACATGGACATGTATGTGATTTCACTGATTACATGTACATGATGTACATGAAATTTGACTTTAACCCACTCTAAACAAACACAGACCCCACCCTCAAAGACCTACACCATAAACAGTTTTGCAAGAGTCCCTGCAGTACATGAACATGAAAGTGCAGTATACATAAGCCATTTATTATTGATTAACCCTGGTGTTCTTTCTAGCCATAAACATAGTTACAACAGGTGATGTACGTGTACATTTGTTGGCCGAATATTGCATACATGTACCACCATGCAAATCTATTGACTCTTTAATGTGCGCAAGGATGGGTGTGGTGTTAGCGGTAATAATGCATGGTTTGATATATCACGTCCATGTCCATGTAAAAGGTTACACTTTATGGCACAGTACTCCATTGAGCTAAATGGAATATAGATAATAGCACAATGTACATGTACATGCACCGGGGTATGTGGTTACTTCCAACAACATGTAAAATGTACATGTTGTCATCGCTTGATGCAAATATCTTATCTACATGTACATGTACATGTACATGTAGATTACAGCCATTACAAATGCAGCACAATATTGGGATAATTTACAGGTATAGGTATTATGTACAATGCACTGGTACCATGTACATGTATGTATATTAAGCCTATAGAGGATTTTCAGTCATGTGATTTTTGACGGTCAGTGTTCAATTTACATGCGCCTTTGAAGTCTCTCAGCATGCTGCCGTACATGAAACTGCCAATAGAAATACACAGATTCAAAAATGCGCGCACCTTCACGGACATGATATGCTCCCCAGTACACTTCCTGAAATGACTTTTCCGGTCATTCAAGCCTCTATTCAAAAACAAAAACAAAAACAAATTATGTCAGACTTTGGTGAGTTCCCCCGACTGCTATTGATTTATTCTGTACACTGAAATGATTTTCACTTCTTGCAATTATAGTATACAGCAGGATTCTGCCAAGCACCCACAGAAAGTTTCAAAGTTACTTTTACTAGTAGTAACAATGAAATCCTTGATGAGAGTTAAATTCAGTGCTCTCCACACAACTGTTTCCTGATGAATGAACATTTTATGATGTGTCAATTTAATCTCATTGCTACAGCTGTATCTTACATACACTGTGTGGAAACGGGGGGGGGCTCTCAGATGTCTGATTACAACATGTACCTGTAGGCTGTAGTCCTGGACTGTCCAAGACTTGAGGGG